ACCACCGAGCTTTTCGCCGCAAACCAAACCAACCTGAGGCAACGATCTCACCTTCAAAACTGAGGCCCTCACCTTTGCCAAAGGCCCTCACCTTCGCCAGAAGCCCTTGCCTTCACTAAAATCATCATCAAAGCCCGAAGTTCTGGCCAGACCATACACATGACACCCAGACCTCTATTGAACAAGTTATTATTTGTAATCTAATCACCTTGGAGGCGAGTTAGCCTCTTGTAACCGACTCAAATTCTAGTGAAATCATTTTTCAACTGGGCTAGGGCCTCGTGGTTTTTCCCCTTTCAAGGGTTTTCCCATGTAAAAAGATCTTTGTTTTCTGTGTGTGAGCTGGATATCATGTGCAAAGCTAGGAACGTATAAATTCAAACTCTATCGCCGCGTATATTCTAGCCTGCAACCTCATATTAAATTATTAAGGGCATATTTTACTGGAGGCATTGTTTAAAATATTTGAATATACTCTTCATGATCAAAGGCAATCCACAGATGAAATATATATATATATATATATCTAGATATAATATAAGACTCATAAATTGCAAAGAGATCATTGCAAATCACAACCTCTACCTACTTTATAGCCCCCCTTGAAATAGAAAATCACAACTTCGCTATCTTTGTTTTAGGACATTAAGATAGTCTTCCCTCTTTGTTTATGCTGAAACTTGATTAATGTTCCAAACTAACATATAGATGGTTGGCATTATGGTACTATACTACTATTAATGAACGCGTTTAAACAAATTTTTTTTTTTTTTTCAAGCAAAACATTCTTCAATTCTTTAGCCCTCCTATTAAACATTATTAAGCCTAATGTTTAAGATTATGTTAAATATAGATCATGACAGTGCAAGGACATTTTTTAAATATATAGTTAATAGAGGAATTAAGTGTTGAACTTGTTCACTATTAATTAGATTGTTAGACCTAAGCTATTGTCCCGAGGCTAACCAAAAGGGGGGGGGGGTGAATTGGTAATTTAAAATTTTACTTATACTCTTGGATTTTTTAGAAAACATTTTAATTATTAATGCAAGTTAAATTAAAGTTTTAAAAAATAAACTTTTCAACTAGAGTAAACAAAAAAACTTCCAATTAAAATTAAATACGGAAGAAAAATAAGAAACAACAACACATCAAATTTATAATGGTTCGGTCCAAATACCTTGACCTAACGTCCACTTCCCCGGAGGCATCCTCGAGTTATTACAACTAATAACCACAAAAGTGACTCTCCTTTTGCCCCCACCAGCAAGGCGGAGAAGCCTGTACGAAATCACTTTCCCTTCCCCGGTCGCGGCGGAGGAGCCGGGTCCTTTGACACCAAAGAGATCTTCTTCTTCCCAAACTTCCCTCAAGACGACCCTTGAATCCGATGGTAACTGAGGTGCAAGTTCGCCGGACAACCGTGTGAATATCCCCTCCACACTCCCTTAAAATCCCCTCCAAGGATCTTCTCCCTCTCAAAACTACACCCTTTCCTCTCTTTTCCTTTTCAAGTTTTCTCCAAAAGAACGAAGACACAATGACTGCCAAAGATATACTTTGTCGTCCTTTTACACTCTCCAAGTGTAGGCAGAGAACCGGACCGATGTTGTTGAAACTTCACTTGAGAAGCCTTTAGAGGAGATTGGGCAGAAACTTGAAGGAAACAAAGAGATCTTCACTTTAACCTTGTGATCCCTCACAAACCCCTCACTTTGATCTCTCACTCTTCACTCATACAACTCTCCCAAACACTCACCACTCAATGATCACTCCAAGAGAAAACAACTCCAAAGGCAATTTTGTAAATAGTTTCTAGCACTCCTTATATAAGAAAGGACAAGAAAAAACAGTCCAAAAAAAGGCTAATTTCAAAGTTTTTCTGCACAGTGGATAGTCCGTACCGAACTGTGCAAAAAACTGTCTCGTACGAACCATTTGTGAATCAGTGCGAAACTAAATTTCGTCCTGGGATGAAAAGTTATATCAAAGTCAGTTCCAAAACCTGTTAGAACGTTGCCAGAAATTTGCCATAGTTGGTTCCCTTCGTCCTGGACGAAATTTGTTCAGAGAGCAACTCGTCCTGGCACGAATACACTTCATCCTGAACGAGATTTCTCCAGAGGGCAATTCATCCTGGGACGAATTGTCTTCGTCCTAGACGATCAAGACTTAGAAAAAATTTTCTTCAGTTCCTGTTCGTTTCATTGCTCTTAGTAGAGATAACTGACTTGATCGTCCCGTACGAACTAGGTTCGTCCAGTACGATCAGTACAAATTTGTAAGATCTCCTTAAGTGTGTGTGTGTGTGTGTTATTCACTCAATTACATCACTCCCTCTCATTCAAAGAAACAATTAAAGGCTTCAATTTACAAAAGGATTGCAATGCTGAATTTGATTTGAAGTTTTCGTAGTTTGGAGTTCGATTTTCCCGCGAAATGTTAGTACACAACAAGAGCAAAAAATAAATCTTCAAAAAAGTGTTAGGAGATAACTACACATAAAACAATAATATTTGGAATCATCAAAACTATACAAGTTGCAAGAAATGTAAAACATGCAAAATAGCAAACTCTCTAACATTAAGGAAGCTTAAACTTGAGGGCAAAATCATTATTAGGGGGCGAGTAAATGATGTTAACATAGTTATAATGATCAATGGTTAAATATGTCCAATTAGTTGCACTAGGTAAGCCAAAAAAGCGGATATAAACTATAAATACCCAAATTATGGAGTATGAGTGCAAACTGAATAATGAATGATCCTCCGGTGGTGGTGCGGCGAAGCTCCGGCGGTGGTCCGGCGAGGCTCCGGCGGTGGTCCAACGAGGTTCCGGCGGTGGTCCGGCGAGGTTCTGACGGTGGTCGAGGAGGAGCTTCTTCCTTCTCTTCCTTCTCCTCTTCCTTCTCTTGCTTGGATCCCCCTTTGTGAAGAATGAGGGCTCTATTTATAGTTTTTCTGGAGTGACATAGCTCGTAAATAGGCCTGAGATCAGGGGCGAATAGGGAGTGGTCGAATGGACGGCCGATATTGAATCCTACGATCGTGCACCGTTCGTCAAACATTTGAAGGCCTTAGTGATGTCGGAATTCGGTGATCTTGGGCTCGTTGGATTCGTCTCATCGAGCCGTTCGATTCGAATATAAGCTCGTTAAAATCCAAGATCGTTTGGTAACTCAAATTGTGATTCGAACCTTCCAACAGCACTTCGAGTCTTCGATTTGGGCTCGGATTGAGTCGAATTTGGCGTCGTTGGATTCGTATTTCCGAGACGCTCAGTTTGACTATAAGTTTGTTGAAATCGAAGTTGAGATGGCTTCCGAATTAATTTTAGAAGTTTTCAACTCCATTCTGCATCGAGATTCGTGCCCGATCAAGATAATTTTTTGACGATGTATCAATGACTAATGATAATGATGATCATTAATAGCCTCATTTTTTGTGTGGTGAGCACAAGAGTAAAATTATTAGCAGTTAATCAAATTTAGGCTTAGTTTGGGACAATTTTTTTATTATTATTTTTTAAAAAATTTAGTACAAAAATTAAAATTTTTATACTAAAAATTGTTTTAAGAAGCAACAAAAAAGTCATTTCAATTAATGTTCCTGCAATAAGGAGAGAACTCCCAGCCAATGCATACATGTTTATATGTCTGTAATGAGTTTTTCCATAGTCTTATGATGTGTATGATGATTCTATATCATCTTCTGCAAAGGTCTTGATGAGACGATAGCAACTTAAATATGAAGAATTTCTCACTCTATGTCAGCTAATAGTCACATAGCTCCATGATGTTTCACCTATGATACTTTAATTTCATTCATATACATGGGCTGCACTATTTATACTTTGCTTGAAAACATAGTAGGACAATCAAACAAATATACATCCATAACAAAAAAATACATAGTAATATGCGAGTAAAATATACTTAGATCTACATTTGTTTTGCGAGCATAATAAGTTTATCTTGAGCTAGTATAATGTAGAGCATCATGCCATCCCAGCTACGTTTTATTTATCAGCTTATGGAGAAATTATTATGTGCAGAGTCCGGATGCATTTGGACTCCAATTAAAAATCATGTGACTTGATTCTATTGGAGTCCGAATGTGAGCTACATCCCGACTCCGCACGTAAAGATTTCTTCAAGTTCTGAACCCTATAGTTTTAGATTTCAGTCATTGAAAGCTTCGGTACGATTCCTAACAAACAAATCATATGGAAAGACTAAAGTGGGAAACATAAAAACAAGAAGTAAACATAGTAGGCCCTGATCATTCTATAGCATCTAACATAACTAGAAACGAACTATTAAAGAAAATTCATGAAGATAAAGCAAGCATTAAACTAAGCAATATTGAAATTCAAATAACATCTAACATTACAAGCTCTGCTCAAACTATAATGGCAGAGGCTTCAATAATGACTACAAAGGCCATTTTCACAAGCCAATATAAGCTCCATTTACTACAAGCCTACATGAATAATCGCCCTCTCTCTCTCTCTCTCTCTCTCAACAGAAATAGTGGAAAACAAAGCTTGTTGTATAGCTTGTAATGTTATTTTATTGTTGAAAGTTGCGAAAAGTGGAACCAGGAAGGATAATTTTGTTGAAGGATTACTCATTCTTCTTATCTTTCTTGGTCTTTCCGGAATCGACGCCAGTGTATGGAACAACATTGAATGCATATTGTTGGATCACTGAGAAGACTACCATCTCAAGAATTATCAAAATATTCTGTATGGCTTCCTGAATATGCTCTACATCCAACCAGATATGATGGGATTTGATAACTCCCGCAGAAACTAAGGCATCAAGTACTAGCCCCTAAAATAAATAAATAAAGAAGGTTTAGTTTTCTTTCAAGGGAACAGGTTGACATTTTTAACTCTGATAAGGCGCCAAACAGAAAATAAGAGTAAAATAAATAAAAAATTCAAGGGAGAGATAATAAAACTATAATAATTTCTTTTTGAAGATTTACATACATACCATCATATACTATTCTATTTACATATCTAACATCTAAAACTTTAATATCACATACATACCACTCATAGTTTACTTTCATATCAAATATGAGTGATAGAATTGAAATATATGGGTGATAGGAATGAAATATGAGTGACATATTTGATACTAAAATAAAATAGGGTGGTATGTATGTAATATTAAAATTTTAGGTGATAGATATATAAATAAGATGGTATAAAGTGGTATGCATGTAAATTCCTCATTTCTTTTTAGGGAGATTTGCATATGTATCACCATATACTATTCTATTTACATAGTTAACACCTAAAACTTTAATATTACATGCATATCACCATAGTTTATTTTCATATCAAATATGAGTGGTAGAAATGAAATAATGAGTGGTGGAAAATATGAGTACCATATATTTTATATTAAAATATTATAGGGTGGATGTATGTAATATTAAAATTTTTGATGTCAGATATGTAAATAGGATGATATAAAGTGGTATGTATGTAAATTTCCCTTCTTTTTAATGGTTTAGGCATGTCAATAAAGAATAAAAACAAAAATATATAACATGAGATTAATCGTTCAAAATCGACTGATATTGAAAACATAAAGAGAGATGAATCAGTAGGTTGAGCCTATTGTCATCGGAAAATTATAAATTTTTAGAAATTTGAGTAGACAAACATTCTTTTTGTAAATCCAGAGTTTAAGACTGAAAATAAATCTACCCAAAACTGGCTACGAGAAAATAAACAATAAAATGAGAATTTACCTGCCAAAAACTGAAGAAAACAATTCCTTTGATGCACAGGAACTTCGCCAGAGGTTTGTGAGGTGCTAACTCCTTCGCAAACACATGGTAAAAGAGCACAAGAGCATATAGCGCCATTGAAACAGAGATATTCAATATGATGGTGAACGTCCAACTAAGCCAGCTGGGATAAACACCAATTAGCTCAAATAAAATCATCAAAATGGACAAGACTGGCCTAATCACCACAAATTGCCATGTCCAGGACTTCAGAAGCTTCAGCGTGCTATGATCTAGCTTCACCTTTGGCGGCTGTATTTCCAGAAAAAAACAGAAATAAAGCTCTATTTCAGTTTAATTTTTTACTAGAAAACTGTTTTAAGAAGCATTACTGTTTCTTAAAGCGGCTTTTTAGTACAAAATTTTTAACCTTTGTATTAAAAGTCGTTTTAAGAAGCAGAAAGAAAGCCATCTCAATAGGCTTCGTTTGGGACAGCTTTCTTACTACTTTTTAAAGCAGTTTTTTAGTACAAAAGTTTTAATATTTGTACTAGAAAGCTGCTTTAAGAAGCAGTAAGAAAGTCGTCTCAAACGAGCCTAAGTCTAAGGCATACCATGAAAAGTGAAACGGGAAATGAGTGATGTATCTCTCTTCCTTTAATTTCATCGGGCACTATGTTCTTACTGATAGAGATATTGAGGTAACTATACATCAATGCCAAGAATTTTGCAATCACCTGCAAATTTCATAACAAAAATATAATAAATTCACAAAGTTAAGCATCCTGCATAGCTTAGCAAACAATATGTACTTACCAATGCTTCATAACATTCCTTAACCGAGTCCAAGAATGTGAAGAAAGCTTTACTTCCCTGGATATCGAGCAAACCAACAAAGGAATCAATAGCATACAGAGGAGCCATGAGTATTATGACGATAATAGCCTTCTGTTCCTTGGGGTTCTTCCAATAAAATAGATGCTGTGACAGTAGCTGTACGGTGAAATGCATTGTCAGCATCACGCAACAAGCTGCTCCAAGCAGAGTGAGAGTTGCTGGGTCCATCGTGGTCAAATCCATTCCTGGAAACATGATTCTAGATGGCAGCAGGCAATCTATAAAGGCATCAGCATTAGAGTGATCATAAAAAGCTACTTTCATAAAGGATTCAAAATACAGTTTTGTTGAAATCGTTAAAATTCCTATTTGATCAAGCCCATTTTTTTATGCATTCTCTGAATCAAGGAATTTTGCAAATACTAAATTGGTGCAGCTTCGCTTTGAAAGGAAAATTTGGGGGCCAAAAAAGCTCAAAATCAAGTAGATAATCCAATATAGAATCTGCAACAACAAGATTTCAATTTTCAACACCTAGATTCACATAAAATTACGGGTGTGCATTATTTAGTTAAAACAAACCAAAAAATAGAATTTTGATTTGATTCGATTGTTTAAGTATCAATTCAATTATTAGTTAAAATTTTTATTTTTTTCTTTTTATTGTTTCGATAATTTGCTTTTTAAAACCGATCAAACCAAAAATAAAATTGTCCTAAATTAAGTGACAGAAATATCAATGAGTATATTAAAATTTTCCATATGCCAAAATTATAAATTTTAGCAAAAATTATTTGATATTAGCATTGTGGAAAGCGTTGAGCATGCTTAAAGTTGCGCAGAGGAGAAGGATGAGGATACAAGAAAGGGCGATCAAGTTCGCATACAAGGTGATAAGATGGGAGAAAGGAATGGAGTAAGCAATGGCCATTGCAGTGAAGTTTAATTGATGGTGGTCGTGAGATCAATAAATAGGGGTAGAGAGTATAAATACATAAATGAGTTCTCATGAGGCAAACTTTTAATTGGCAGGATGGTAGAAGTTATAAGTGGTGCCTGCAAGAGGAGATCACAAAAAAGCTAAATTGTTACATAGCTAAGCCCAATCCCAACCAACTTAAATTTTTCTTAGCTCCCCACTTAAGGAAAAAGCCAAGCCGAAATTTCACAAGCTTATGAGTGCTACTTTTAAGCTATTTGGATGAGCTTAAAGCCTAACTAAACCCCAACGAAATAGGTCGAAAGTCTCAAGTTTTTCATAAAACCCCATCGCCCACTAACATGATCACTTGAAATCCTATTTTTGCCCAATTACAATGTTTCCCACAATCTTCTATTATTCACAAATTAAGATTAGACTCATGTCAAAAGAGTCATGATGTACCTCACTACTCAACTCTTAATACAAAGTTTTCAACAACCTCAGGTACTTCTCATCAACTTAATGAAATATAATACCCCTTTCAAGACCTAAGGTCAGCTTTTATATAATGTTTGGAAAGCTAATCCAAGGGATATGATCTAGATAGATGTACATCCAACCATTCCGAGGTCTCTATCTCCAACAGTACATGTGGCATTCTCTTGCTGTTTATTTTCATAACACTTCCCAGCTTAATCAATCTATCTTCCTCTCTCTCCTTGCTCTCAATTCAACTAATGAGATGCAATCAATAAGCCTCTGTTTATAAGCCTTTCTTTCATCAATCTCAAGAAACTTCATCCAATCACAACTCCCTCATTAATGCCTTGTAAATATCAAAAAAACCACAACCCATCAGCTAAGTTACAGCAAATAAGATTAAGATTACAGCTTCAGAGGGTAGTTACAATAATACCCTTTCTTCTGTTTTTGATATAATAACCTGCACACTAGATAAAAAAAAAATTACACAAAACTTTCAATACTTACAATATTCATATTAAGATAAAAGTTTTAAGATTACATAAAACATCACAAAAATCAGTGTATAAGAAATCATATATAGTATTGTATGTTTGGGATCACAAGTCAAGTATGAACAAGAATACAAAAGGGAATTGCACTAGTGTACAACTTGTCAGGATTTGAGTAGTGTATGTATAGGATCAAGATTCCTCAGTTGCATGTGATACACCAAGGGGACTCAACTTGTGGGGCCGAGGGGAAGATATTTATAAGGTTACTAATTAACGGAGAATTGTTTAGGAAAGTTTTCTAAGTATGTTTATATTGTTTAGGAAAGTTTCCTAAATCATGTTTAATTGTTTAGAAATATTTCTTAAATTATGTTTATACTATTTAAGAAATATTTAATTGTTTAGGAAAGTTTCCTAAATTAAGTTTAATTGTTTATGAATGTTTCATAAATCATGTTTAATTGTTTATGAAGGTTTCCTAAATTATATTAGGAGAAAGTAAATTAAGAAAACCTTTCCTAATTGAATTTCTTTCATCATTGAAACATTTCCTAATTGAATTATTTTTAAAATTAAGGAGGGAAACATATTAGGAAGGCTGATTTTGGAGGGAGGGAGGAAGCTTATTTAAGTCCATAGTAGGGTTTATATTAGGTATATGCAGATTTTATTTTGAGTGTTGTAGTTTTCTTTCTATGAGGGATCCTAACGGCATCTAGGATTTGAGAGAGAAGGTACTCCTCTCAAAAGAGGACTATTATATCTTGCTTTTGCTATTTGATTTCCCAGTGATAAAAAAATATGTTTTGTGCTGAATTTCTCTTGTTCATTTGTTGCTTTTGATACCAAGGCGTATCAAATTGATATCAGAATGATGTCCTGGACCTAAACATCAAGCTTTCCTTGCTGATTTCTATTGAGTTTTCCTTTGTTTGCTGAATTTTGCTGTTTGAAGGCCAGATTCACGTCAAAGTTGCCAATTTTTGCTATTAAAGCCTTGATCCAAGTATCGATGGTCAGAAGAAGAGTTGAGACATTGGAAGAAAAGTTGAAAAGGGAAGTAAGGCAAATACGAGCGTATATGAGATTGATGAATGAACATATTTCAGCGATAGAAGGAAGGTTTAGGAATTTAGAAGATATGATGAAGAAAATGATCGAGATGCAGTCGATAGCTTCACCAGCAATTCATAAGGTTGAACCAAATGAAAAGAAAATTTTGGAGGAGATGATGGGAAAGCTCATTTAGATGCGATCCAAAATACCACCCATGGTTCCAATTACTGGCCCTAATCAAGATTTAATTGGGATTCCCTTGGTCGAATCTAAAAGGAAAGAGATCGAACGGGAAGTATTCAGCAAAAATAGCTTATTTCATCAAGAGCCACCTCGTAGAGCTGCGAGAATGGGGGAGATAGGGTTTTTGGATGTGGGGACAACAAGAAGAGAGTTTTATTGTGGAGGTGGTGGCATGGTTGACTGCTATGGGAGGCTTTTTGAGCAAGGAGAGTGAACGTTCAGAGGAGGAAGACAGGCTGAGCCATGGGGATCGAGTCATGTGAGGCAGATGGAAAAAAGGTGGGAGTCCCACCCTCGATATAAGAGGGAAACATGGAGGGATCATGACAACCGCTACACATGAGGAGGAAGAAGTTGTTGGGTTGGTGACAATCCCAGGGTAAAAAAGTTGAAGATGTAAATAATTGAGGAAAAGAAGAGTAAGAGTTCAATAAGTGATACAAAAGCTTCTTCCGAGGATAAACAAATCCATAAAAGGAAAGATGTGAATGAAGAGGGCAAGGAAATAGACTCGCAAAGCCAAGCTGATGGAGTTGATCAGAAAAATCAACTGCATCAAATTACCTGGAGCAACAAAGATTGGTGAAGGTGAGCCAGAACATCAAAACCATGTTGTTGTCTTTACCAGAGGGGAGGCTCTTTAGGCAATTAATATGAACCAGAATAACTATTGGTAAGAGACTCTGAAAATGAGGAATCTTTTAGAGGAATTCAATGAAGACCATGGATTGCGCCCACCAACCATTCTTGGTGTATGTGGGCACATATTTACATGAAGTATTTCATCTTTGGAATGGTTCATGTTAAACCAAGAAACAAGTTTCTAATACAGGCATCCAGATGTATTTGATAGGATTTTTCACATCATTAGATTGACAAAAGCAAGGCTTCTCGTGGAATCAACCTAAGTGAGAATATCTTTGTAGGATTCAACTTAACATTAAGGCAAGGAAATATCACACACCATGAGTATATTCCAGTTGGGAAGGGTCATGATGCTGGACTCAACCAAATCTCCCTGTTTGAAGCAAAGGTTGCCAATAGCAATCGAGAACAAATACTTAGCAGAGATATCTATCACTTGGGCCACCAATTTGACTTCTTCCGCATGCTTTCTGACTGCTTCACAGCTGTAGGATTCTATGTCAGCTCAATTATGGTTGTTATCATAATCCACCTTTTCCTCTATGGCAAGCCTTACTTATCATTAAGTGGGCTTGAGTATGTCATTATGAAGCAGACACCGATGAGAGGAAACAATCCTATGAAGGTTGTTATGGCATCTCAATCTACCATCCAACTTAGTCTATTGATGGCCTTATCCATGATTATGGAGATTGGGCTGAAAAGGGAATCCATAACTGTATTAGGCGACATAATCATCATGCAACTTCAATTGTACTTAGTGTTCTTTACATTCTAGATTGGAACAAAATCCCATTACTTTGAGCGGAAAATCCTATATGGCAGAGCAAAATATAGAGCTAGTGAACGAGGATTCATTGGGCGACATGTAAAAATTGCAAAGAACTACAAGTACTCTAAAAGTCATTTTACAAAGGGTATGAAACTTATGCTACCACTAATTGTTTATCAGATCTATGGATTTGCAACTACTAATTCAACAATCTTTATGCTTCTCACTACATCCATGTGACTCCTTGTTGTCATTTGGTTTTTTGTGCCATTTCTTTTTAACCTTTATGGCTTTGAGTGGAAAAAAAATAGTTAATGACTAGGATGGCTATAGCAAGTGGATAAAAAGTGAAGGCATTGACAAAAATGTTAAATTATTGAAAGATGGTATATCCTCTAGAGTGAAGCACAAGCAGATAATGAAGGATATAGAATTGGATCATGTGTTAACTGGTTATTGACAGGAAGCAGATTTTGTTGTTAAAACAGATGATTATGAGACAATTCCCTTTCTTACACCTAGAGGATAAGGTGACTCATTGGGAGGGAGTACTGTGTAGGACTCACCTTGTGGGGCCCAGGAGAAGATATTTAGAAGATTCCTAATTAAGGGGGAATTGTTTAAGAATGTTTTTTAATTATGTTTATAATATTTAGGAAGGTTCCTAAATTATATTTAATTGTTTAGGAATGTTTCCTAAATTATTTAGGAGAAAATCAATTAGGAAATCCTTTCCTCATTGAAACCTTTCCTAATTGAATTATATTTCAAATTAAGGAGGGAAACATATTAGGAAGGAGGCTGGTTTTGGAGGGAGGGAGGGAGGAAGCTTATTTAAGTCCATTGTAGGGTTTATTTTAGGTTTATGCATATTTTGTTGAGTGTTGTAGTTTTATTTTTGTGAGAGATCCTGGCAGCGTCTAGGGTTTGGGAGAGAAGGTCCTCATCTAGAAAGAGGACTATTGTATCTTGCTTTTGTTATAAAAAATATTTTTATGTTGAATTTCTCCTATTCATTGGTTGTTTTTGAAAGCAAGGCGTATCAACATGTTAGAGGCCATCTCCTCTAGGAAGCTTTGGATTTGAGCGGTGCATATATCCATGGAGTGTATAAAGAAGAACATTTGTCTATTTGGATGTACTCTAAATATGGCAATTGTAAGATTTTAGAATTGACAAGCAACATTAGGCAAGATTCTACTTGACTTCATTTTGATGTGGTATCTTGATGAGAGAGAAACATTTTGTATTTAAGGCTTTCTTTAGGCTTCACCATTATTGGATGGTGAGTATGCTTGCAACTTGGGAAGGGCTTAAGTACTGCTCTATTTTGTGCACAATGCTTGTGGCTTTTATGTTTCAAGTCGATCTAATCCTCTTTCTTCTCTCATTGAGGTAGGCTTGCTTGAAGCCAAACTATGTAAATTTTTGTTGGTTTGTAAACCAAAGCCGTACCAAAGATAGACCTCTAACAAACCTACTTCCAACCGTAGACAGCCACTAGATTTTTTCACGCCTAACATATACTCGATGTGGAACTAAACTCAATACGCTCACTTATCTTAACAATCTTAAAGCCACTTTACGTATGTGTTTCATTGATCTCTTTTGTGTTTACTTGGCTCAACATACTAGATCATGTTGACGCTGAAGGATTGACTTTTTGCACTCACTTCACAGCAAGTGTCTAGTGAGCATCCATGCCCTTACAACCTCCATCATTAACAAGTCATAAAAGTCTTGAGCTCAAGATTCATCTTACTAACAAAGGTCAATGAGATTACGACGGTATAACTTCACAAGCTTCATAGAAGAACTACACCAAACTTAGAAATGATTAAGCCAGTGTATGAGATTTTCTAAAACATGTATAAGATGCAGAAATTCTCGTTCTTACCATTTCTTAACAACTCGAATCTTTCATAATCGCGCATCCCATATGCAACTGGATCAAAATCTCCCACATACGGATAGCAAATCAATTTATTGGGCAAAGCTCCTTGAAAAAATTAGAACGACGCCTAATCTTAATAATCGACTAAAGCAAAATCAGAAATACAGCTCATGAACCAAACAAAATTACACCCCAAAAAACAGAAACCATAAATCAGAAGAAGTAGCCAACAGGAAGTATAACAAAACAGAAGGTAAAAATTACGAGAAATGAACTCGATTTTCGCCAAGTAATCAACAAAGCCAAAACGAACTCAATCTCCATAATCAAAGATTACCACATTGATCAGAAATACTTACACAGACAACAAAAGTTAAAAAACAAAAAAGATCCCTCAAGATCTTCCCAAGTAGTAAAAACGCCGATCACACTAGCAAAGCTACGAACGCCGGTCAAAGCTCAAAAAGCTATTGCGCAGAATATACAAAGATCTCCGCTTCCGGCCCGGCCCAATTTACAATTCTACCCTTCTTGGTTAAGAAAAGCCAGCTTTCTTTTCTAATGTAAAAATGTAGCAGAAATGAGGGCATCAATAAGTCATAGATGATGACAATTGCTATATCTGAAGTCTAACAAACAACTGGCAATTCGATGCTTCTGGAAGAAATTGAAACCTATAAAATGAATTGGTTGGGCCGTGGGGTTCGCCGCCGTGGTTCGGACCGGGTTTATGTGTTTGTTATTTACCCGTGTCGGCAGATTCGTGTGACTCCCACGTACACAACGCAACACACACGTTTGGCCGAGATTGAGAAATAGGAATACTTAGCCGGCGTTGGATTTTTTTTATGATAAATATGCATGGCTGCACGTGGAGCGTGGAGGTTGGACACCACGTAAACCACGAGGACCCTTAATTAGTTCGCATCTGCCTGTCGGCAGGGTATTTTTGTCCATTTTAGTTTTGATCATTTGAGCACTGCTATGTAAAAATATAGTTAAATAATGACTTTTTTATTTTATTTTATCATCTTTTGTAGCTTTGATTTTTTTATAAAAAATAAGGCTTCATCTGAAGCAGCATTTTACTTTTCAGTACAAAATTTTACTTTAAATTTAGTAAGAAAGTCGTCTCAAATATGGGCGGATCCCTCTTTACTTTAGGTTGGGCATTTGCCCACCATCAAAAAATTTTAAAAAAAAATATTTAGAAGGAATATTTTAAAATTTTTTGCTCTAATTTTGTCAATTCTAAGCATTTTTGCCCTTCCCTATAATTTTTTTTTTTACCACCTTAATAAGATTGACTGTAGTGACCTTAGCACCCTAAATGAAAATAAAGAATTCTATTTTTATCGGCGTATTAGTAAAACTGAAGTTAGAGAGGCTTTAAAGAAAATGAAGGGTGGAAAAGCTGTTGGACCTGATGATATCCCAATAGAGGTGTGGAAATGCTTAGGAGATGAAGGAATTTCATGGCTTACTAAACTTTTTAATACTATTTTGAAGACTAAAAAGATGCCAGATGAGTGGAGAATGAGTATGTTAATTCCTATTTTTAAGAATAAAGGTGATGCACAAGATTGTGCGAATTATAGAGGTATTAAGTTAATGTGTCATACTTTAAAACTATGGGAGCGAGTAATGGAGCATAGGTTGCGGCGTGATACTAATGTTTCTCAAAATCAATTTGGATTCATGCCGGGTAGGTCGACTATGGAAGCCATACATTTATTAAGAAGTTTGATGGAGAATATGCTTCGTTCTAGCATGGTAAACCGGGTTGTTGGCTAGGGAAATTGCCGAAGTGTTGTCACAGTAGATCATGGTAGGTTGCGGCTGAAGTATATCGAGTTCTTGAAGAAGTTGGCGGAGCCAAAGAACCTCTGTGGTGGCTGTGGCAATGGCCCGGTACTCCGCTTCTGTGGAGGAGCGGGCTGTTATGGTCTGTTTCTTTGCACACCAGGAAACCAGGGTGGAACCTAGAAAGTTGCAGTACCCTGTTGTAGACTTCCGGTCTTGATGATCACCAGCCCAATCCGAGTCAGTGTATGTGCTGAGAATCAGGTTGCCAGGAGTTATTGGGATACCGGAGCTTGTTGATCCACGAAGATACCGCAGAATTCGTTTCAATAGTTCGAAGTTGGAAACTGTTGGCTGTTGCATATATTGGCATGCTTTGTTGACGGCGAACGTGATATCCGGGCGAGTGAGAGTGAGGTATTGCAGTGCGCCGACAAGTTGCCTGTATAGATGCGGGTTGTCAAAGACAGGGGAATCGTTGGATGAAGAGGCTTTCGGCAGTATTGGTGTGGAGACTGGCTTGCTGTTAGTCATGCCTGCATGTTCCAGAATCTGTTCGGCATAGGTAGCTTGATGCAGAATGAGTCAAGTGGGGGATCGTTCCACTGTGATACCTAGGAATTGCGTTACTGTACCTAAATTTTGCATGTTAAACTTTTGGTGCAGTTTGAGTAAAAGAGAATTAAGAGATTGAGTGTTGTTGCCTGTTAGTATAATGTCATCAACGTAGATCAAAAAATACATAGTTATACCATTTTTCCGATAGAGAAGGAGGGATGAATCTGAGTGACTTGTGACAAAGTCCAGTTGATGTAGAAATCCCGTAAGAGTCTCGAACCATTTTCTTGGTGCTTGTTTGAGGCCATAGAGCGCCTTCTTGAGTTTGCAAACGTAGTTCGGGTAATTGTTATCGGTGAAACCTGTAGGTTGTCTCATGTAGACCGTATCGGAGAGCGAACCATGCAGGAAGGCGTTTGAGACGTCTAACTGATGTAGAGGCCAGTTGTAGTGCGAAGCAATGACTAAGATGATACGCACTGTTGGTATTTTGGCGATTGGGCTAAAGGTTTCTTGATAATCAGTACCGAACTCTTGGTTACACCCCAAGGCGACTAGGCGCGCTTTATATCTGGCAATGGACCCGTCTGCATTGCGCTTGGTTTTATACGTCCATTTGCAACCAAGAACGTGTTGATCAGCAGTTGGAGGGACAAGTTCCCAGGTTGCTTGAGATTGAAGAGCCTGAAATTCTTGGGACATTGCGTTGCGCCAATGCTGGTGCTTAACTGCTTGTGAATAAGTGGTAGGATCGGCTTCCGTTAGAAGATGAGCGAGATCCAGGATACGGGTGGGTTTTAAGCTGCCGGTTTGAAGTCGTGTGGTCATATGGTGAGTGCGAGGAGCAGCAGTTGGAGTAGGAGGACGAGTATTGTTGGTTGGAGTGGGTGAGAGCGCATTCTGAGGAGTCGGTGGAGAGGCATGCTGATTATTGTGGGAAATGCTAGCGTGGGGTATTAAATGAGGAGTGTGATGTATGGAGGGAGAAGGGACCAGCATAAGAGGAGGAATAAACTCTTTGCTAGATTGAGAGACGGGTTGGTTTGCTTCAGCAAAACGCTTGAAAGGAAAACAGTTTTCCTTAAACACAACGTGACGGGAAATATAGATTCTCTGATTGTTGATGTCCATACATCTATATCCCTTCTGTTGAGAAGCGTATCCAATGAATACACACGGAATCGAGAGAGGAGATAATTTTGATTTGACGTAGGGACGGAGCCAAGGGTAGCAAAGGCACCCGAAAGTTTTTAAGTGAGTGTAAGCAGGTTATTTTTGATATAAGCGCTGAAATGGTGATTGATCGTGTAAGGTGCGAGTTGGGAGTCGGTTAATTAAGTATATTGCAGTGTGCATTGCTTCCACCCAAAGATTGGACGGATAGTTGGAGTGGATGAGGAGGCTTCGTATGGTTTCCAAGATGTGGCGGTTCTTGCGTTCTGCGATCCCATTTTGAGCTGGGGTGTGAGGACAAGTAAGTTGATGTTGAATGCCGTGGTTGTGGCAGTACGCGTTAAGTAACTTGTTGGTGTACTCTCCTCCCCCATCTGTCCGAAGAATTTTAATATTGCAAGAAAATTGACATTGTATAAATTTATGAAAGGTAATAAAAATCTGAGTAACTTCTGATTTATGAACCATCGGAAAGAGCCAGCAGTATTTGGAGTAATCATCTATAAATGAAACAAAGTATCTAAAGCCTTGAATAGAGGCCGTTGGGGAAGGTCCCCAATCGTCCGAGTGCAGTAATTGAAATACATTGCTAGAACTTGAAAGAGAATGCATAAAAGGTAGTTGTCTGCTTTTGGCAAGGCAACAGGAATTGCAATTATTATGTTTAGAAATACAAATTGCAGAATCTAAACTAGCAAGTTTTTGAAGAATGCTGTGACTAGGATGGCCTAGTCGATTATGCCATAAGTCTGGCACAACTTCGGCCGAGAGCAGAGCGAGAGACGTGGTACCAGGCGCTGACGAAGCCTTGTATAGCCCGTTATGGCAGGGTCCTTGAAGTAGGATGCGACTGGTCTTCAAATCCTTAATTTGGTAGCCGTTAGAAGAAAAAGATATTGTGCAATTGTTGTCGGTGGTTAACTTATGAACAGAAAGAAGATTAAAAGAGAGATTTGGAACATGATGAAGGTTGGTAAGACGAAGATTACCTGTAGGTTTGGGGAGAATACCGTTACTTGTATGTTGAATCGGGATTTGTTGGCCGTTGCCGAGAGTAACCTGAGAGGATCCCGTGTAAGGTTTAATGGAGCTGAGTTGAGATTGATCTGCCGTTAAGTGGGAGGAAGCACCACTGTCAAGAAACCAGTCGGTTGGCCGATTGGTGTCTTGTGCAGAGAAGAGAGCGGGGTTCGTAGAGGAATCTGAGTAGGAAAGATCCGTCCGGTACCAACAGCGAATAGCAGAGTGCCCTGTCCGAGAGCATATTTGACAGATAGTGTTGCGATGGGATTATTATTACCTCGACCATTTTGGTTGTTTTGACGACGACCCCTGCCACCTCTGTAAGAGTTGGAACGGCCTCTTCCTCTTCCTCGAGAGGCCGTAAGAGCAACAGTGTTGTCCGTTAATTGCATGGATTGTAGATCTTTTGTAGCTTCTTGAAGTAGAATGTGCTCTTCGCTGCAAAGTAAGCTGTAGAGATCGTCCAAAGATAGAGGTTGAAGGTTTGTACGTATCGCCGTTTTAAATGATTGATACGAGGAGGGAAGTCCGTTCAGCGTATAGAGTATGACATCCTCCGGATCAATCGTGTGTCCCGTGGCTTGGATGGCGTCGATCTTGGACTTGATATCCAGCAGATATTGTGTCATGGATTTGTCTCCTTTATTCAGGTGATGTAATTCATTCTTCAACTGAATGATTCTTGAACGAGTTGTAGATTGTAACCGATGAATGAGGGTATTCCAGATCTCATGACAGTGAGTGAGATCAAGAACATACGGTAAGATGGCGGGAGAAATAACGGAGTAGAGGGCAGCAGCGAGGTGTTGATCCGTAAGATTCCAGGCATCGGACTGTTCGGAGGAAGTCGTCGCCGCCGGGGATGCGGAATCGACGTCGGGAGAGGGACAGACAGAGGTTCCAGTGAGAAAACCTTTGAATCCATGAGCGGAGAAGACTTTATCCACCTGAGAGCGCCATAGCGGGAAGTTGTCGGAGGTTAGGGTATTAGGAACCAGGTTCTTGATATTGTGTATCAAGAATTTGAGCTGGGGAGAAATAATGGAGTTTGCGACAGTGGAATTGGCGGTAGAAGAGGCAGTTCGAGCAGATGATTCGGCCATTGGAAGAAGACGAGAAGATCGGAAGGAGCGAACGAGGCTTAATCTGATACCATGTTAGCCTAAGAGTTTCTTAGGCGGGAAGAAAAGACAAAGCAGAGATTCAATTGAGAAGAAAGTAAAACTAATTTTTCATTCCTTCTAAGAACCAATACAGAGGTATATATAGAATACAAGATAAGATGTCGTACAGTTGTAACGGCCGTACGAATACATATTTACAAAGTTTGTTCGTTATCTCTATTTCCTAACAGCTAAAAGTATAAACAACCCAAAAATCTGACTATATTTTGGCATAAATACAAATGGAGCTTTTGATTTGATTTTAAAAGAGTGATCTTAAAAGAACCATGCATTAACTTTTATTAAAAACCAAGCATATTATAGATTTTAGAATAGCTTATTTTTTATCAACTATGTGGAAAAAGTGATATTTTACGAAGAGCCTATCAATATGAACATATCCAAATGAACAATATATCTTTAATAAAGAGAAAAATAAATTAATTTAGTAAAAAAAACATCTAAATATACAAATAATATGCAAGTTATAGGAGATTTTCTAGATGTAGTTAGGTCGTTCAAATATACCACAATAAAAGAAATAATATAAAAGTTATCACAAATGCACACATATTTTATATCAAATTATTTTAGGCCTAAAATAGCTTGTGTGAATTTGCATATTATACCTTCTATACCTTATATATATGGGATTATATTTTAAAACAGTTATATATATATTACTAGCGCGACAAAGCTTATTTATTAAAATTTAATGCTAGCGTGGCAAAAATTATACCCCATGTTGTAAAATTATCAAAAAATTTATGCTTATCAAAACAATTTTTGAGCAAAGTAGTAAATGCGGTCATGGGTTCATCTTATGTGATTGAGACAAAAATGCTAAGATTGGTATTATTTTAAGCTCTAAATAAATTGTAATTTTATGCCTATCAACATGGCATGACAATATCTCTTATGATTACTTCAAATATTCAAATAATTTAAAGCATGTCACCTAGCCTTAATATATATTTTCTTAAATTAAACCTACTTAGATCTTATGTAGGGTCATTTCTTTTTAATTATCATCATACAATTAATAATAACTAATGATAATAATTTGCATGTCACAATCACATGTCATCTTATGTTTAATTAAGGACCCTTTCCCTAACAATTTGAAGGATTAATTTCGACAGCAAAAAAAAGCAAGGCTCATGCTACATAATGTGAGGAATATAGTTTAATCTTTGATGTCCAAGTAGATTTGGTCTACTTAGAGCACAAAAGATGTTTGCACAATTAAATTTGGCATACATGTGTAGAAATAGAAAAATGTCTAGATTATTTAAGAATAAGCAGGGGCGGAACCAGTCCTAATTTTCGGAGGGGGGACCTTATAAGGCATATATGTCGGGGGTCCATAGGGGCAGCGCCTCCTGGCGGGATTCGACCTGTTCAATGATAAATTATCTTTTACTATTTATTGGGGGCAATTACCTAGATACTATAGTATTTTAAAATTTTTAGAGGGGACAATTGTCTAAAACTCCTTGTAATAAAGACTAAAAAATGATGAAGATGCCCCTGAGTATATCTAAGCACAATAAGTATTCAAATTAATGATTTTGCTATATGTTAACACAAATACAAGATGCTTTGACAAATTTAGCCTACGAAAATATAATTATATATGATTTTGTCTAAGCATGTCATAATCAAATATCATCTTATGTCTAATGACCCAATCCCTAATAGTTTGAAGCATTAACTTTGACAACTAAAGAAGGCTCATGCTAAGTAATGTGAGAAATGGATGATTGAATGGATATGATCCATTCAACACTCATCAAATCCAAGTGTTCATAAATAATTTAAACATTTTAACCTTAAAATAATATAAATATATAGAATGCGAGTGTTATGAAAAGTGCTTGAGTGCTATTTTCTTGTGAAAAAAGAATTTCAAAATATCAAAATATTCTATCAAAGTAAATTTGACGTACTTGGACATAAATGAGAAGTCAAAATAGATATAGTCCACATGGTTATAATATGTGCATCCGAACACCGCACATAATAATTTTCCCGGTTCGAGATGACTTCAACTTTTTATAAAGGTGATTGTAAAGTTGATGTAGAGAGAACAAATTTTTTTGAAAGCTATTATAAAAAAATAATTCTCTAGTACACAAATTTATTAAGATTAGTATAACAATAATAACCAAATTAAAATTATAATTGTGACATAAAAAAAAAAGTTTGATGAAATGTATCCGAAACGAAGCCTAAATTTAAATAATATGCTTAACTTCATTGGAAAAAAATTAGACTATATATTCATGATTTTAAAATGCTAAGAAATATTTTTATAGGATTAATATTTTATTTGGCACTATTTTCTTATTATTTTTTAAAATAATTTTTTATAAAAAAAAAATTAAACTAAAAATTTATGTAGTTAGAACTTAGAAGCAAGGATAAAACTGTCCTAACATAAGCCTTAAAAAAACTGTGGAATGCCAATACAGTTTCTTCACAAAACAGAGCACTGGTTCGCCAATTAATCTCATAAATCGGAGGCTGAGAATTTTCTTGTCAATGTGATCTTCCCATCTTCAGCCATGGCGATCGCGTCTCTACGGCGGCTGCCCCTCCAGCTGTCTCGCTGTTCTTCTCCATTTGTCTCCAAAGTTCATCTATTGTCTACAACCTCAGACGTTGATGCTTCCGATCGTATCGCCATGCTTTTTCCCCCCGCGGACTGCCATCACCATCGAGTCATAGAAAAGCATGAACAAAACGGGAAGCTGCGCCATTTCACGCTTAACCATCGAATCCAAGGTATCCTGGTTACCATCCTCTACCTTAGATGACGCAGTGCTATCGCCCTAGGGTTAGATTTCTGAATCTGCTTTTGTTTAATCTGTGAGTTTTCTTACGGTTGCACCGCGCTTTTTCGGCGTGGAGAAGTTCGGATTTTTCCAAGTCTCCTTTGAAGAAATGGTGAAATTTTTTTATCAAATTCGTTTTTGATAATAGTTTATGCTGCAACTACAATAATTGCTTTATTTCTTGGAAAATTGTATCTGAAAGTTCATTTCTGACTAAAATACCCAATGTTATATTTATATCCCTGTGTATATAAGTGAAATTATTTTCCGCCCTTCTCACTTCGACTTTATCTATTAATGCCGTGATCATTGTACATTCATCCAAGTTCTTCTCTTAAGGGGACTACATAATGAAATTGTATATTTCTTCATTCATCGATGAATTAAACATTTATGGATACTATTTTTTTTTTCACGTTTTTATTGTGTATAATAGTTAGGTCATTTTCATGGAGATATAATACAAAGCTAGATAGAATATCAAATAGTGTGCTCTGATACTTGTTCAAATCTAATAGAACATGGGTTATGCGTATTAAAAACTATGTTGTTCGTTACTCCGATTGTTACTTGAAGAACATTTGAATATTATTTAATGAATAAGTTATTATATGCTAGAAAGTTTGTAGCAGTAGAGTGAATTCTTTGTCTTAGTTTTGTATAAAGATCATCGAGAACAGATAAAAGTTGTGAGAGCCTAAAAGTTTTTTATTTAAAAAATCCAAGGATGGCCTAATTGAATACAACAATAACAACACCAACAACATCAAGCCTTATCCCATTACGTGGGGTCGGCTACATGAATATTTTTTTCTCCATTTTTTCATGTTAAGAGTCAAATTCTCATTTAAATATAATAAAAAAAGGACATTTCTAATATTTTATAACCAAGTCTTTTAGGTCTACCTCTCTTAACATAGGCCAAATCTAATACATCTACTTTCCTAACCGGGTCATTAGAAGACTGATGTTTTATGTGACCAAACAATCTAAGGCGGCTCTATCTAATTTTATCTGTCATTGGAGTTACTCCAACCTTGTCATGTATATGCTCGTTTCGCATTCTATCTCTAAAAGTAAAACCACTTATTCACTTGAGCATCCTCATCACTGCAACAATTAATTTAATTGGATCTTCTCTTTTAATGGCCAATATTCTACGCCATAAACTATTGCATGTCTCACCACCATTTTATAGAATTTTTATTAAGTTTGAGGGGTACTTTTCAATGACACAACATGCTCGATGCATTCCTCCACTTCAACCATCCAACTTAAATTCTACTAATAATATCTCCATTTGTTTCACCATCACTTTAGTTAATGTGTCATACACTCATACTTTAAAACTATGGGAGAGAGTTATGGAGCATAGGTTACGACGTGATGCTCATGTTTCTCAAAATCAATTTGGATTCATGTCCAATAGGTTATGACGTGATGCATGATAGACCTATCCGGCATGAATCCAAAATGATTTTAAGAAACACAGTATCACGTCGTAACCTATGCTCAATATCTCTCTCACAAAATTTAAAGTATGACACATTAACTTAATTCCTCTATAATTCGTACAATATTGTGTATCACATTTATTCTTAAAAATAGGAATCAATACACTCCTTTTTCACTCATATGACGTCTTTTTAGTCTTTAAAATAATATTGAAAAGTTTTGTAAGCCAAGAAATTCCTTCATCCCCTAACATTTCCACACCTCTATTGGAATATCATCAGGTCCAACAGTTTTTTCACACTTCATTTTCTTTAAAGCCTCTCTAACTTCACTAAATAAGAGAAGATATATGAATCATTCCTTGCTCACAATTAAAGAATATGAGATTATATATAATTAAGAATAATTATATGATTCCCATTTTAGGGATTAAAGGAATTATGTGTCTAGAGGCGGATAATTTAAGCCCAATAATAGGGTTAGATATTAATAATCGAGCGCCAATAAGTTGGATGACGAAATTCTAGAGATGGTAACGACGATTGCCGACAATAGTCGTTGGCATTGGTTGTTGAAAAATGCAAATGAGTTATTTAGTTCTCTCAGTTATTGAACCTCCCCTCTTGTAGATAATGGGGCCTTATTTATAGTCTTTTTTAGCTTTTTCGTAAATTTGACTAGAATCCACAACATTCAAGTGAAATATCCATATTAATCTCCTTAATTGTAGATTGCTTATCAAGCATTTTAATGTCTTAATGATATCATATAAAAATTATCTCAGCTCTTGAATCTCCCCTCCTGTAGAGAATGAGGAGAGTTTTAATAAATTTGGCATAATTCAAACACTACATCTTACGATCGATATTGATCCCTTTGATTGTTGATCGTTTCTCAAACATTTTAATGCCTTAATGTCTTAATGATGTTATAATTGAATGATATTAGGTTCATTAGATTTATATTGTCATGCTGCTCAATTTGACTATTATAAACATAATTTTTTAAGATGGTTTGATCATTCAATTTATTCCCCGAAGCTATTAAATATGTTTCAAGTACTTGATTTGAGCTCATTTGGAGTCAGATTTGATCACTTGTAGTGTCGATAAGTTCGTCCTGTCGATACTTGTAGTTCGATTATAAATTTGCCGAAATCAGTGTTTCTTTGGTCCTTAATCTAATTCTGGACGCTTCTTATTTGAATACAACGTCAAGATTCATGATGATCAAATATATTTTGTGATATATATTTATATATAAATCTTCAAAGATTATTTTGAAAAAGTATATATATGAAAAAATACAATTTACATAAAATAAATAAAGCATCTAAATAAGGGGGGTTGATGACTATGTGAAGGTAGATGAGTACATGCATTGCAATACAATTATTAAGTGGGAGAAGATCTAATGGCTAAGCTCCTCAATCCATTTTGCTCAATAGATCATATCATGATTGGCTGCATATGGGACTCACAATTCTTTAAGGGTGAAAAATTGGGCGAATGCAAGATTGAGGATGACGACTGGATCCCATGGTTGGGAAACATAGTCTTCAACATTGCCTCTCGAATTAGATGATATAAGTTTATCATTTCATATCTGCTTGTAAATTTTTTAAAATGTAGTGCCATTTAGTAAATATATCGACAAGTTGATTTCATGTAGGTATTTATAGACTCTTTTAAGGAGTACATATGGAAAAATAAATAAATGTAATTCACATAAAATAAATAAATAAGAAAAAAATGGGTGGTCGATAACTAGGTGATGGGAGAGGAGCATGGGGACTTCACAATCTTCATTTGTTGATTACTTATCAGTGCCTTTGTATGGATATCTATATGCATGTATTGATATCTATATATGATATATACATTCATGGGTATTTGTGTGTATATATATTTCGTGTATGTGAGAATGTTTTTCCACTATTTGTCGAATTATTATATTTTAGTAACAGATCTAGTGGGGGTATTGTGACTTTGTGTAATCAAGTCATTAATAAAAGTATACATTTAAGATATATTGAGTCTATTATTCAAAGTGATGTTGAAATAGATAGGAATATTATTAGTAGAATTCAAGTTGGATGGTTGAAGTGGAGGAATGCATCGGGCTTGTTGTGTGATAGAAAAGTCTCCCTCAAACTTAAGGGAAAATTCCATAAGATGGTGGTGAGACCTGCAATGCTTTATGGTGTAGAATGTTGACCATTAAAAGAGAAGCGTAATATTAAGTTAAGTGTTGCAGAGATGAGGATGCTCTGGTGGATGAGTGGCTTTACTTTTAGAGACAAGATTCAAAATGAACATTTATGTGAAAATGTTGGAGTAGCTCCATTGGAAGATAAGATTAGAGGGAGTCGTCTTAGATGGTTTTGTCACATAAATCGGCGGCCTTCTGATGACCGGGTTAGGCGGTTAGGAAAGTAGATGTATTAGATTTGACTTATGTTAAGAAATGTAGAGGTAGACCTAAAAAGACTTGGTTAGAAAATATTAGAAATGACCTTTCTTTATTAGATTTAGATGATAATTTGACTTTTAACAAGGCACAATGGAGTAAAAAGATTCATGTAACTGATCCCACGTAATAGGATATAATGGTCTGATATTGTTGTTGTTGTTTGCCGAACTTATTATTCTACGGTCATGTGTTGTTGTCACTATTAGTGCATCCAATTTAGCTTCCTTTTATTTTATATTATTTTTAAAAATATTATGCTGTCTTAGTTTCCAGTTTTAGTTGAAAAAAATGTAGCGTCGCTTTCTTGTGAAATCTTGCAGGCTGCTATCTACCATTTGGGGCAAGCTTTAAACGGGATTTTAGTGCAACTGCCGCAAGCCAGTTGCCTGCTATAACAGATCCTGACATAAAAGTTGCTTTCAAGGATCTAATGGCTCTGAATTGGGATGAGGTCCCTGATTCCCTTGTCAATGAAACAACAAAGGCGTTGTCTAAAACTACTGATGATGTGTCAGGGGAGGAGGCTTTGGCAAATGCCTTCCGTGCAGCTGAAGCTTCTGTGGAGTTTGGTAGCACTTTAGTATCTCTCAGAATGGCACTTGATGATCTTGGTGGATTGACTGGCGAGGTCTGCTCCTTTTTCTTCCTTCACCTTGTTCGTTGCTCCTACTTGCTTTGTACTGTGGATGGAAGTTGTGTTATTAAGTGACATATATCTATTTTGATTGGATTTATTTACAGAATGTTGGGAACTTGCCAGATGGCTTTATATATATATATATATATATATATATATAAGAATTTAAGCCATTGTGACTCCATGTGCTAGCATAATAGAAAACAGACCCTAATGACTTCCAATGTTCGGCACATTATGCCTCCCTCTGTATTTAGTACCAGAACTTCCATCACAAATTAGAACTTCCAAAAAACCACACAATTCAATCCCATAATTGCATAATTCATTGCATTGCAAAAATTAAAGCATAAAGGAGCTCATTTTAGAATTTCAGTGTTATAATGGTGAACAACAAAATATAATACTCTATAAAAATCCACTGTTTCAAAATATTTTTAATTTGGCTTGTATATATATATATATATATTAATTTTGATTGCCCAACTCACAAAATATGCGCCTATATGCAGGTGACACTTCTAGGAACCTCTGGGATTTCTGGGTCCTATGTTGAACTTAGAGCGTGAAGAAATGCTATGTTGGAAAGCGTTTTCGTCCAGCTCTCTTTGTGATTCTGTTTGTTCTCTCTCCACGAAAAACTTTTCTATTTATGCCATAAGCGGTGCTGGAAATTTTAACTTTTACTGTCTACCATTTATGCCTCGTCTTCATTTTCAACTCGACATGTTTCTAATTGTCACTATACAAAATTCTGATGATGGAGACTGGCCAATGCCTTGTTTGAAGATTTAAATTCTCTGCTTTGTATTTAAAGGTCGCTCTGAACTCATATTTCGGCATAATTGCACAATAAATCTTTCACGTGCTTTCGCCAAACATGCTTGCATGACAGAAAATTCTGTTACTTTTTTTGTTTTGTGAGAGGTTAACAAATTACATGAATTATTAAAGTCATAGTCACATACAGATAGTTCCATTACATCCACTACATAAAATTGTTTTATGTTGTTAACTGTTTAGAAGGGCTGTTACCCTGTAAGAACTATTCCTGAATACCATGAACTTTAACTCTTGAAGATGATATATATCGGAAATCATAAAACAAAATAAAAAAAATTTACTGTTGAATTCATAATTATCTGTAAATCACATGAAAGAGAGCATAGAGATAGAGAAGTTCTGAGATTTTTATGAAATAAGTTTGATAAAAAATTACGTAAATTGAGCTCATCCTTTGATCTCTTATTATAGATTTGAGATAGGACTTGCACATTATAGGATTTGTTATATATATGATCATTCAAAAAATAAGAGGAAAATATAACTATTATGTAGTTCGACTAGAATGTTCAATTTGTAGAAGTCATCCACTAAGCTCGTAAGAAGTTATTGGTTTCGCGTGTTTTGGTGAACGAGTAGTTGAATAACTGATTAATAGTTTCCTATATGAAGAAAGTCACTCATTTGAGTAGTAACTAAGACCAACTTCATAGATCTTACATGCTTGGCTCGCTATGTCACACGTACGTGTTTGGGATGAGTTCATAGATCTTAGTTGCCTTCATGAGATGAGTTCATTTGTGGACGAGCAAGTCCCTTTTGTCTTAAGACTGAGTAGGCCGAATCGTAGTAAAGAATCTGGTCGACTTGGCTTGAGGACAGCCAACATGACTTAAACTCAATTTTTTAGATATTTGGTTGTAGAACTACGAAGATTATATATAGGAAATCCTTCAAATACAATTAACAACATAAATAATTAGCAAACATTCATCATTAAAACAGAAACTTACAAAGAGAACATAATCAAATCGAAGCTCTTAACATCTTTAGATATTCTTAGACCACACAGTACAATCAATAAACATTCATAGTACATGCCAAATAATACTGATATTTTCGATCAGACATTATTTTTCTGCTGCAGAAAACTCACAGCACTGTTTAGATAATCTTTTACTATTTTTGTAAATTCTTCCAAAATTTGAGTTCCATCGAAGTCCTTTTCCAAATCGTAAGTGAAAGTGGCATTGATCTTGGTATTGCCTTCTCCTATACGATCAAGCTTCAAGGACAGGACATAGTAAGTAAACCCTAGCTTCATAAAGCCTCCTTCTAACCCCTGGAACTTCACGAGGTGATTGCCTTCATCAAGTTCTACTATCCTCTCCTTGAAGGGTTCAACGTTAGGTGCAACTTTGTCAAAGAAAAAGGAAATATCAAATTATTTACTAGTTACGTTCACACAATTTGTAGTAACATTGCACGGAGGAAAATGAGTCATTTTATTCTCAAATTATAAATATGTTAAATTTAGGCTTCGTTTGGGATGACTTTTTTATTGCTTCTTAAAGCAGTTTTTTAGTACAAAATTTTTAAAAGCTGCTTTAAACTTAGGCTTCGTTTTGGGACAGCTAAGGCTTCATTTGGGACGGCTTTCTTTCCACTTTACAAAGCAATTTCTTAATACAAAAATTTTAATTTTTGTACTAGGAAGCTGCTTTAAGAAGCAATAAAAAAGCCGTCCCTAGGCTTCGTTTGGGGCAGCTTTTTTTCTGCTTCTTAAAGTAGCTTGCTAGTATAAAACTTTTAATTTTTGTACTAGGAAGATGCTTTAAAAAGCAATAAAAAAGTTGTCTCAAATCAAACCTTGGTCATTTATTTCCCAAATATGATTCAAAATACTCTTCCATTAAATTATTTTGAATCAAATTTGAGAAGGAATTACATTTGAGAAGTCTAAAGACTAAAGTTAAGAGCAGCAGGACTCACCAGGGCCAAACCTAAAATACAGGAGTGAGCCAAGGCCAATATTGCCACCATTGCCCTCACTTTCAAGTACCTGCCATTCTGCAAATAGATCAGGAGCAGCTTTTCTGGCCACTTCAAATTTGTCTTTGGTCAATGCCTTCCATAGAACTTCGATATCAACTTGATCCGCCTGAGCTTGGAACTCTATTTTGCTCGCCATTACTGGATCCGTTACTGTGGCTATGAGGAGAACTTGAAAAGATGTTAGGGGATTGAAGACAGAAGGGACTTCTTATCTGTTTTTTTTTTTTTCCCATTTTTCATATGCGGGTAAGAGCAAGGATTACTTAATTTAATTAGACTTTTTCACTATTTTCTCATATTATTATTATTATTATTAACATTTTAAAATGATAATGTGCTTATGAAGAATACGCCCAAATAGAAAGTAAGGTATCATTGGGATGATCTTCTTACTGCTTCTTAAAGTAGATTTTAATTACAAAATTTTAAATTTTATACTAAAAAATTATTTCAGAAAATGGTAAGAAAGTTGACCCAAATGAAGCATAAATTGAGTTCATAATTTTGGTATATTTGTCCAAAGCTTTTTCACGGCGGTTACATATTTGTTCGTCTACTATTTTTTTGTTGTTTTTTTTTTTAAAGAATTTTAATGAGAAGTTATTTTTTGGCAGATTGAGTGTTGTATTTGTAAGAAAATTACTGTTCAACTTAAAATATTTTTATAATATTCTTAGTGATTTTAAAAATTAATAATATTTTAATAACATTTATAAAAAAATTATATCTACCTTTAATAAATCCTTAAGCCGGATGCTAAGTAAGAAAGATTCAAGCTTAGTTTGGACGTCTTTTTTATTATTTCTTAAAGCAGATTTTTAATATAAAAATTTTAATTTTTAAACAAAGTAAGTTGCTTTAATAAGCATTAAGAAAGTCGTTCCAAACGAAGCCTAACTCTTTAAAATTGCCCAAAAAAAAGTTATCTCAAATGAAGCATAAGATTTTATTTAAGAAGATTTTATTATTATTATTTTTAAATAATTTTTCATACAAAAAATTTTAGTTCAAAAAATTTTTTTAAAAAGCTATAAAAAATCCATCAAAATGAAGCCTTATTCACATAAATCACCTCTTAATCTGTAAATAAGACTGTTTTAAGGGTATATATGTAAATAAAAAAATAATACTGCAAAAGCATAAAGACGGCTTATGAACCGAACAAAATTACTCACAAAAAAAAAAGCAGAAATCACAAATAAGAAGCAGCAGATCACAGAAGTATACAAAACCAAAAGGCGAAAATTAAGAGAAATGAATTCGGTCGATGAAACACTTACACGCAGAAGAAGAACAAAAGTAAAAGAAAGCTCAGAAGCTGCACGGAATGCAAAGAATGACCTCCTCCTCCGCATACAAATAGGTGCTGTAGCTCGATACCCCAAATTACAATTTTACCCGCAGAAAGCTATATTTCTAATATACAAATATAATTATTATTTTAAATATTAACAACTTTATAGTTAAAATCTTGAATATTAATATCTTTTAAAATGAGCAGGCTCATGTGCTAACGAGTCAAGTCAAGGTTGGCTCAAACTTGACTCTTCAGCTCATTGAGCTCGGCTAACGAGCCGATTATCGAGTCTAGCTCGAGTTGGCACATGAGTCAGCTTGACTCTCAGACACCCTAGATAAGATGATGACCATGGCGATATTTGTAGCTCATAGTTTGTTAACTCATTAATATGTTTATGTTAGATTTATTCATTAAATAAGCAGACTAATATTGAATAATTATTTTGATCTTATTTATTTATTTGATCATGTCCAACTCCTAATCTATCTATCTCTCTATATGTATATTATTGTGTGATAGGATGTTGACGGCGATAAATTAGGAAAATATTTAGTCATAGTGCTGCACGAGTATCCAACTCACAAACAGAGAGAATAAAAACACTAAAAAATTTTACGTGGAAAATATTGAAGAGAAATAACCGTGGGGCCACGCCTAGTTGAAATGAATATACTAGTATTTGAATAAATTACAAATGATTTATTCGTTCTTGAGGACGATCAGATTACAATATTCAATCTTCGGGTAAAATCTAGCCATGAACTTGTGTTGGACGAAAGTTCGATGATGGTTGGTGGCCGCGCGTAGATCTGTCATCATTTGATAGCCTGGACGAAGTTTGGCGACAGCCGGTGGTCGAGCGGAAGTTTGGCGACAAGTAGTGATCGAGCAGAAGTCCGGCGACCGGGTGAAAATTCGATGAATATATTCAATACATAGCTCATCTTAATCTATTAATTGAAAATTTTACCTATCAATTAAGAGATCACAAATTTAAAGTTTAGATATATGATGTGGTATCAATTTGCCTTAAATTGAAGTAAATGTTAAAAAGATAATAAAAGATTCGGTGGATATTAATAAATCAGCATGCGATAAACGTTGGATTATTTTATAATTTTTTCCGTGCGGGGCTGCACGTGGAGCTTCGATGATTGGACAATGGACACTGAGTAAAGCACGAGGGAATTGTTTATTCACATCTTGTCGGTAAGCTATAAGCGTGATCTATTTTAAAAATAAATCTTCAGATCATTGAATGGATGAGAACATCTGTTCACTAATCTTAAAGGCTTCTTTTAAGCTCTTATTTAGGCTTTAAATTGGCCAAATGAACAGCACAATCGAATGTCTTTATATTTTTATGTGTCGAGGAAGATGATGAATGTGTTGGTCTATCCTTGGGCCAGATTGATTAGACCGAAGAAATTTGTTTTTTTTTTTGTCCAATTCTAATATTAAATATATGACTGAACTGAGGGCACATTAAATGGGATTAATTATTTTGTGTGAATGATAAATGTCATCTGGAGGTCAATCAAAATGCGTCATGTCATTCTTTCGCTGTGTACTGTGGCTAGATACAGCTCTATATTATTGACGCACATGACTGTACCTGATTTGCCTCCGGATGTAGAGCTGCGTCCGGCCTCCGCACAAAATAATTTCTCCTAAATGAAGGATTAAGTTGGGATTATTTTTAGGGGTGTCAATAATTGATATGATTCGAAACCCGACACGAACCATACCCGAAAGTTCCGGGTTGGTGAAACCTTTGTCAGACGAGTCAGGCTCGGGTTTAATAATTTGTTCCGTTTCTAAAATCAGATCAAGTTTAGGTTGACCCGAAAACTCAAAATTGAACTGTGTGAATCTGGATAGTCTCCGCCTCATCTTGCTCAACCACACACTCATTGCCCATCGTCCGGTGGTACCTGCTGGGCCGCTCGTAGGGACACACGTGCTCGCGGATCCCCTCACTCGCTAGTACTATCCAGTAGCACGCGCTTGCGGATCGCCTCTCCTACAAATGGCTCGCATAGCGCAAGCACTGGCCTCACCGCTCACGCACACTGCACGCCTAGCCTTACCACTTGCTCGCGCGCTAGCCTTCACCCAGGTCCATATGTCGGATCAGGTTGACCCGAATTTGAAGCAGGTCATGTCCGGGTTCAAATTTCGGATCCATTTGTGTATTCATATTGGAGCAATAAAGGGCAAGTCAAATTCAGACTAGATCCTAACCCGATCGAAAAATCCATTTTGATTAATAAAAATATTTAAATGAGGATGAATTTATTTATCAACTTTTAATTTTGAATAAATCTTCAAATCTAATAATTCATAACCAAGCAATGACAAGAACAGTAAATTCATCTGTTGAAAATAGTCAATATTAAATTTAAGCCAATATGCCAAAACATTACATTATTATGAAACCAATCATAAGAATAATGAAGTATGAGATATTAAAAATATAATCTATTTATTAAAACAAACAAAAAATGTGTCACCTTTTACAGTAGGCCACGCCTCTTTATGATAATGGGAACCACACCTCTTTATGGTCATGAGAACCAAAACTTGTTTTAGCTACACACATCCCTTTCTCACTCCCAACCGTTATCTTCCTTATGCTCATCCTTCCATTTTTTTGTGTAAGTTTAGTCCCACATAATTTGGGTATCATTGAGCCCTCCTCTTTAGAAATAAGACTGAGAAATGAGAAGTAGAAATGTTGGAGTCCTAAACAAAACCTCTCAATGTTCTAGTACTTGGCGACTCGATCAAATTTTTCAAAATTGATTTTGAACATATAAATTAGATAAATAATGAACTAAACACAATATAATCATTCAATTTATTTTTCTGGCCAATTAATATTTTTGAACACACACATATATAACTAACAAAACACGATCAAATAAAGCTACATTTGTATTTGACTCATCACAATTAATAATTTGTTTGAAAGATTGGATTGAACCTGAGATTTATAGTGAGTTCTTCGTGAACCATGAGTTTTAGAAAGCCCTGTTACTCAGGAACAATTATTAGGTCTGAGCACCGGACGTAGCTCTATATCCGGAGGCTAATAACATGTTGCCACGTGCTCTTACTCTTTATTGTGCGGCCCGACGATCCAACCCGGACCGGAACCCGGTATTGCTATGTTCGCGTATTGCTGACTATTGTTATATATTGCTTGACAATAATGAGAAACACAACTCTATCAAAAGCAATACCTGGTTTTGCTAGGTTTTGCTAGGCTGAGCACCGGACGTAGCTCTATATCTGGAGGCTAATAACATATTGCCACGTGTTCTTACTCTTTATCGTGCGGCCCGACGATCCAACCCGGACCGGAACCCGGTATTGCTATGTTCGCGTATTGCTGACTATTGTTATATATTGCTTGACAATAATGAGAAACACAACTCTATCAAAAGCAATACCTAGCAAAACCTGGTTTTGCTAGGTATTGGTTTTCAAATAATGGTATTTCTCATTATTGTCGAGCAATATCGAGCAATACACACGTCTGCACAAATCAGCCAATACATAGCAATCCCGGGTCTGGTCCGGGTTGGATTGTCGGGCCGCGCGGTAAAGAGTAAGGACATGTGACACCATTTTACTGGCGTCCGAACGTAAAGCTACATCAGGACACCGGAACAAATAAAAATTTGTTACTCTGGGAGCTAAAAATGAGAAGAAAAGTTGTTGGAGGTTATGCCATAGTATCGATACTATAGCTCAGATTTTTTTCCACGATGCCATGAAGGAAAATGGCAGGAACGATACAATTAAGGTTATTTGGTATATAACTTTATTATTGCTTAATTCCCCAAAAAATAAAAAAACTTTATTATTGCTTTTTAATATAGCTTATTATTATTTTTATTATTATTATTTTAGAAAACAGTAATAGCAAATGAAGCTTAAAACAATACTTGTAGATGAGCATATGTAATAAATGAACAGATGAACAGGCTACGGTTTCGCATAGCAGATTCGAACGGCTGATGCTGCGGATTGCGACTAGCTGGCTGATCGCGATCTGGAACCCGATGAAGCAGCGGCTGCAGCTCTTGATGAGTTAGTTGCACGATTCGCACGGGGCAGAAGAAATGGGGGAGGAAGACATGAATGATGTTCATGATGCAGCTAATTGCACTCAAGCTATTTGTGAATATGCTTCAATGATGCAGAACTCAGATTTCCACCAAAATGCTACTCCAAATTAGCATACCAACAATCCCTCTCCACATTCGAACACTCCTGCCGCTCCAAATGCTTGGAAGCGGAGAGATTTTATCAATATTATCCCTATTGACAAAGCACAAATTGTGGCTGCAGAAGGTGTCTGTTTCTATTGACATGGCTGTTGTTAATGACAACTTAATGAAGTTGGAGAAGACTTTGGTTGGCAGGTTATTAAGCAAAATGATACCTTTTTTTTTATCTCAATGCCGGAATGCCTCTCAGCATAGGTATGGATCAGGTATCAGAGAAATTATTCTGTGGGGAGACCGGACGACGAGAACTATTCGAATTTGTTGTGTTTTAGCTGCTCTTTTATTGCGCTTTTGCAAATGCTCAACAAAATGACAGTAAATATGCAATTATGAATACATATTTGCTGCTCTTTTGTTGAGTATTTACAAAAGCTCAGCAAAAGAGCAACAAATATTCAATTAGCTATGTTTTAGCAACCATTTTGCTGCACTTTTGTAAATATTTAACAAAAGGGCAGTAAATATGTAATTATGAATACATATTTGATGTTCTTTTGCTGAATATTTATAAAAATATAGCAAATGAGTAGCTAAAGTGCAGCAAATTCAAATTGTTCTTGCCGTCGGATCTCCGCACATAATAATTTTACCAAGTATAGAGTATACTTGAGTACGATACAAAATAAATTGCCTATGCGTCCCAAATCCAAACGAAAAATAATGGAGAAATCTTTTGAAATAATATATTTGAACCCATTGTAAAAAGTTTCTAGCCCGTAACTAACTACAAGAATATAAAAAATAGAAGAGAAG